GTGGGTGGTGCGAACCAGCAACGGAAGCGTCCGATGTTCTCCAGAAGTAGCAGTGAACACCGACGGACATGCCATCACGACTTCGTTAGACGTTACAAAGGAGTCAATTTTTCTCAACCATGTGCTCCAATATGTCGTGGGTTTCGTCGTTTTAGCATTCTGCTATGTCCGGATTCTGAGAAAAGCTGCCGTGTCCAAGAAACACGTACAAACAGGCATATTTTCCAAAGGACGTTTTAAGGTTCCCTCGGGAGGTGAGGCGGGACCCCGCGTGCACAAACTGTCAGACCGGTCGCAGTTACCGGCTGACTGTGCGGCGGCGCTTCATCCCACCGGCGACCGAGAGAGTCCCCAGCTGGGGGCGAGCGAGAGCGGGACATCCCGCGGCTGCCGGGACCGCGAGCGCGCCGGGCTGCCGGTGGCGGGCCGCGTCTCCCGCGCGAGCAGCGCCGTTTCCAACGACAGGACGGCACCGGCTGGCCGGCTCAGCACCATCGCCGAGGTGGAGACGGACAAGCCGCACTGGCAGCCGGCCAAGGCCCAGGCCACGACAGCCCGGCACCCGCAGCCGCCAGCCACAGCGCCAGCTCAGACCGCGCAAGTCGCGGCGGTTGTCTCGGCTGGGCAAACCCCGATCGCCGCGTCCAAGCGCGACCGGCCAATGGCACTCGAGATCTGCCATTGCCCTGCCACAACGGTGAACGGTGAGGGAGGAGGGGATGGAGGCGGCAATGAGGCAGGAGGAGAGGAGGGATTGGGACAGAAGAAACAACGGCCAGGGGTAACAACAAGAATCAGTGGGGGTGAAGGAGGAAGTGATATAGAAGGAAGTGATGAAGAAGGAAATGATGAAAAAGGTAGCGATGGGACAGGAAGAGATGGACTGAAAGGAGGAGGAGGCGGAGAAGGAAACAAGGAAGAAAGAAGCGGCGGGAGACCAAGCGACGGAGGGGCAATAAGTAAGTCACAACGACGAGGCGGCGGCGGCCTGACACTGCAGGTGCAGAGTCTGAGCGTCGCTGGCGTCGCGGGGACTGGAGTTCCCAGCGCCGTCCAGATCGACTCGCCTGTTTCGCTGCTCAGGACAGCTGGAAGCCAGCGAAGCACCATACGCAGATGCCGCAGAGTGGACATCGTGGCCACCATCTCCCTTGCGGCATGCCTCGTCATCTTTTTCGTCCCTTCCCTTCCCTTTTTGACTTTACTCTTCAAACGAGAGTCATCGTGCCTGCTCATGCCAGATATGAGACTGCTGGGGCTGCTTGTGATGATAATCAGCGGTGCCTTCGCCGCCATCTTCAGTCCCCTGGTCTTCGTCGTCTTCAGCACCGACTTCAGAGAAGCCCTTCGACGCACGTGCTGGCGGATGGCCGCACAGGTCTCCTCACGTGTCAACCCTGCGAGACGGAACTAGCAGCCTAAAGCAACGACATCACATGGACCGTCCTTGGCTTTGCCTCAAAGTGCACCATCGAGATAATGTGGGATGCCGACGATAGTCAGTTCTCTTTCTTTCTATTGCATGTATCTGCTAAACAATGTAGCAGAGGACGTGATGAAGGGAATATGTCTATTATTGTACAATCGTGCTTGCGTAATTATATGTGCTAATATTTTTCGGAGACAAGCATGCTCCTCAAATTATGTTTCATACTTTAGGCGGACCTGCTCTTCACCCCCATCAATCTGCAATTAGACTCTTAAGCTTCAGTGAAAAGCAAGTCGTGATAATGTCGTAAATAAATAATGACGATGCTGTGCAAGTCAGACCTTAGCTCGGAACGTTGTGTGCTAAAATAACAATATTTCGTGTCCATTATACGCAATAGATTCGCCGCCACGTTCGTCTTCTATGCGTAAAAACGTCGTTGGCTGGCGATTATTACAGTAGCCAAGAACGTTCGCTAGATATGGACCTCAGTAAACTGATTATGTATACCTTTTTATGTCCAATTGCTATGATTTGTGTTATCCTTATATTACCATCTGTTCGCCCTATTCCTGTCATCGAGTGCCCTGTTTTTCGCAATGTACGAAACGTCTGCGAGTGTAAGGCAGTCCCACCTGTTAAACACCTGTATAAAACCTGCATAAAGCGTGGAACGTGGAGCGTCTCCATAAACGCCCATCGTTTCAGATTCGTCTTAGGCTTTGAATCATATGTGATGGTTCACCATTAAATATACATTTCAAAAGCCTCCTCGAGGGAGCATGTCTGTCGAAACATAGCAAGCTTTGCGCCCTATCTATTGTATTCCTCGGAGTTTGAGACCGCAGTCAAGAGTGTACGCTATAATGTCTGGATATCCGAGAACAAAGATGGTTTTTATCCATGTTGCATGTTGCGGCGCGGTCAAGAAGATGCGATGGCGATACTGCGAAGGTCAAATCCTTGCCGTGAGCCCTGGGAGTGCTTAGATGTTTATGTACGATATTGTCACCAATGGTCGATGACAAATAAATACGCCTGGCTGAGCAGAAGCAAAATAACGTAGTGTCATACCGACATCAAAACGGGCTTCAAGACGGAAAGAACATGCGCTACAGTCGCATTATACTTCGGTCTGCCTCTTCCCAAAACATCTGTCATACCACCACAGCCAGGGGTTCCCGCTCAACGTTTTTGTTTTTTATCCAAGTGTAGACATCATGATATCGGCATCCTTATGCCGTCAATGATTGGCCTTCATGATACGCGTACGTAGTGTTTGTCGACAACACGCGACGTTTCGAAGCTGTGCTCTTGGTCATGGCGCTTGCACATGAGCGATGACACTCGATCCAGACACACACAAACACTCTTACGTAGTGATGTTTTTCATTTGCGAAGGAGAATCGCTGCTCTACACTTGGAAAATCTTTAGCATATCCATGGCGGTGGTACCGGCGCCCAGCTGATGATCGTGGAAGTTGCCACGGCTCGAGGCGCACGCGCGTCTCGCCAAAATGCAGGCAGATTTAGTGGTGTGTAGCCAGGCAGTCAGCTTCAAAACAATCACAGCCGACTTCAGAGAGAGGCTATGTCTTGGTAACCATGAGTCCCACGGTAATTACCACGATCTTGCTATCGCCACCTTTCACCGACATGACAACAGCCCGTTCACACAGCACATGAAAAATATTCCAGATTGGCACAAAACTTCAGACTAGCATTTGCGCCATTTTTAAAGGTAGTGTGTCATATTTATATGAGGTTTTGAACTGAAATAGCCATCCTGAAGGTCTTTCGGCGTTGTTCACAATCTCGCCCTTCTTAAGACTTAAGCCCCTAGCTTCTGAGCCACACGCCAGCGAAAACGGGGAAAGGTTTATCGGGGGAGAGTATTTCAAAGACACATTGACATTCATAACATAAAATAACGCCATTCAAGTCCTGCCATTCCATAAGCCATGCGGCGACCGAGGCCAAGAAAGATAGAATTGTCGAAGCGTACATATCTGGCGTTCGTGAGCGCATTTAAAAGATACAACGGCCGCCGAATGGCTCTCAATCAACTTTGTGCAAGGTACCACGACGTAATCAAACCATGACACATTAAAAAGCATATGTACTAAACAGAGAATTGTGCTGTCTAAAGTAGTCTTTTCACTTAAACAGTGTGCCAATATGTTAAGAGAGCTCGTTTCGTCATATCTGATGCTAGTTTCAATACCTTGAAATGTGAATTATTCCCTTTAAATAGGACGATACGTTCATAAAACGCAAAAAATTCTCGTCGTTCCTCGCTCATAAAGGTCATCCACGTCGTTTCCAGATGCCTTAGATTAGCATTCCTTTCATACTCAACTTTGTTGATAAATCACTTAGGTTACATTAGCACGTAATCGCACAGGCATGCGCCCGCTCCGAGCGAGTATTGCAAGCTTCAGAGTTTGACAATATTGCGTCCGCAACCGCGCGTCTACGGCTTTCAATCAGCGTTGAGGTTACAGCAGCGCTACACCAGTCAAACAATGAGCGCGGAGTGAAAGATATTGTAGAAGCCTTCCATACGGCAGCGAGGCCGCTTGCCAGGGTGCGGCCAGGTTGCCATATCAAAAATGGTAGCCTGAGACGGATTCTGGCCAAGTGGTCACATCCTTCACACTCACAAGTTAGGTGAGGTTGCTCAATATGAATTCAAAGGCATTTGAGCATAATGGACAAGTGTCCAGCATCATAACAGAGCTATGATGGGTTTTCCAGTTTTTCCCAGCATCTTTGACAATCTGGCAATAGCGTATTAAGGTATGCAAACGGGACTATAAGGGCCCGGCAAGAAAAAGCAACAAAGCCCTCTAGGTAATGAAAATTCAAGGGGCGTGCAAATTTGCACAGCCAGTTTGTTCATACTTTCGGAAGTCAAAGTAAGCACCCCTATGCATTTCCCAATTTTCGTTTAATTTGACATGACCTATCTAACACAGCAGTCGAGTATGCTGGGAAATATGAACAAGGCTATCACTGTTTGGCTATCACTCGTTCCCCACCCCACAAGCGGACTTAAGTGACCACACGTTTTTGTCTTCTTTGCATACTTAGGGAGTTGCCGCACCGAGGAGCCAAATCGGCACACGTCAGTTTGTTCAACGCAGGATCCTAAAAGGCGGTACGACTGACGTTGCCAGGCACCAAAAGTTAGGTGTATCTACCCTGAATACTGGGCTGTTCCGAACCTCACGATTGAGAATGGCACTCAAAACACATTTCATCGTTTTAAGTAGAGAGGAACATTTAGCTCATTACCAACATGGTAAAGATTGGTACAAACTTTTTATTAAAGTATCTCCACATGTATATGTTCCTATTACCGCAACGTTCGTTTCCAGGTTATCTAAAAAGTTAGTTTTTCCAAAAACCCACAAACTTCACGAGCTGACACATCACCCGTCGGGTAGAGCTTTGGAGCCCTCAAGCCCACCAATGCACCACCCCGCTCGTGATCACATCACTCCCGAAAAGGGGGACGTCGCCGCATACACGGGGCCACAGAGCCGCTGGCGAGCGGCCGCTGACTGACCTGAGCGAGCAGACGACACGCCGGTACTCGTCCATGTCCTCGGCCAGGCCCCAGAAGAACGGCAGCGCCTGCAGCACGCCCGGCGGCACCTGCCAGCTGAACGTCTCCTCCGACAGGCCGCTGCGACACTCGAAGAACTCTGCGGCAAGGACGCCGCACGTCAGGCCGGCCATGCGCCGCCGGCAGGCGTGCCGACCGTAAGAGGACGAGTCAGTGGATACGGGCTGAATGATGAACACAGGGGATCGAGCATCGGACGCCTGAGGACGCGCAAGGGACTGAGAAAGAGCAATAAGTGCGATAAGAGTCAGTGGACATTGCACACTTCAGATGGTACAGATGCCGGCTTCTGCTTCCTTTTCTCACATTAAAAAGATCAATCTTGATCGGGAGACAACCTAACCCGGCATGGACAGGGGGTCAAATCTGTCCCCTCTGTCGAATATTCACGATAATTCAAAAACGTCTCACTATATCGGGGCGCAATTTTCAGTTACTGTCAACTGATGAGTTCCACGTCTTGTGCCAAAATAATGACTGTGAGACTTAAACAGATCAAGCGTAGGTGACGTCAGAGTGACGTCATGTTTGCAGATTTTGTTCACAGAAACGCATAGCCATAGACGCATTGGCACACAACCCGAACGAAAGAACCGATTTTACACCTGTAAACGGAAAATGTGAGCCCATTAGTCCAACATGCATATGCCTTATCGTTATTATCTATTAGCATATTATATCGTTATTAGCATGTCATATAGCACAACATTGATAAAAACCGCACTCGACAGTTTTTGGTCTCAGACTCAAACTTCTGAAAGCATGAAACATGTGTCCTAGATACGACTGTGAAGGATGCCTGCATCCAGTTTCAAGCAACTTTCTGTGACAATGACTGAGTTACGACTTTAAATATATCACAGGGCATGTCGCCCGTGTCCGGGTGGGCTCGGGGCCGCGGCGGCGGGCGGCGGGGCTTAGGTCTACAGCCGTGGCGCGGTGACGGCACGGCGTAACCCGTTTATCAGTTTCGCACGCAAACCAACGCCCATGTGACTGGCAGCGGGGTTGAAGGCTACCAGGTTGCGTTTTCAGCAGGCCTGAGCCGCCCAAAACAAAGCGAAAATAAATCTGCCCGCTTATTCGCTACCGAGGTCATCCACTTGACCCTGAACTTAGACGGTGTATGAACAAGGAACCGTTCTTGCTCACATGCTGATATCCACCATTATGGCTCAGCTCTTCCACTCCGCGCTTATATCGTTCAAATATGACGAAAACAAATAGACCAAAATAAGCATACACACCGATGTTTCAGCTCCCCATTGCACGGCACGTCAGCTTGGCCCTAGGCCTGACACGGCGCGCGTAACATTAAATACCTTCCTACGTAGCATGTTTGATCAGGGCGCAATGATTTCACACCATCAAATGCCCTCCTAAATGAAATATGCTATGGGAACGGTCAAACATTGTTATGGGAACGGCTTCATAATTTGACCTTGACCTGCGACCTTAATACACAACTGAACTTAGGGTTATGTGATCTGAGACGGCACGCCACGGCGCAATCGACTGCGATTTGAATTTTTGAATTGGGCCCAGCCGTTCTTCAGATAGGCAGGGGAGGGGCACGAAATCTGCCCCCCGCCGGTCAATGGTGGGTCGCTGAGGAACCCGGTTAATGCCGGATTAAATAGGTGTCATCAGCCCAAAATGGTCTAGGCATCGTCAAGAAATTAGGTCAGCTCGGCATTCGAATATACCCGGACGCCCGGACAACCTACGGCGCCATACAGAACGAATATACCCGGACACCCGGACAACCTACGGCGCCATGCAGAACGAATATACCCGGACACCCGGACAACCTACGGCGCCATGCAGAACGATGTCGTCTAAGTGCTCACGTGAGTTCGATGAGACGGGAATGGCTTATTCCATGATAAGTAATTTTTTCAGCACACCTTATCATTTTTGACATGACTAGCAGGTCTACTTAAAATGAGGAGGTAGCGATAGAAGCATGCACATGACTGATTTGAAGACGGTATCTGCTGAAAAAGCATTATCGCCAAGTTACGAATATTCGCCACCGGGACAGGCCCGTACATCGTGGGCAGTACAAAGGATCTCCGCCTAGGGTGCAACGATCATTCTACATCATACAGGTCAGCACCAGACATGTCCCGGATGCATCCACGCGCCAAATACGGACGCCAGCGCTGTCTTGATCGCACCCACCGTCACACGCTAGATGTGCGCCACGTTACCAGCGGCCCCAAGCCAAATAAGTTTCATTCGAACCAGGGCGCATAATCTCGAGCTAGCGATCCGGACAGCCAGAAGCCCACAACAACGCCGCAATCACTGGCCACAGCTTCTGGCAGATTCGGTAACAAGTACCACGCTATTTGGACATAGCACTGTGTGCTTCCGATACACTGCGGTTTGAAAAGGCGTAGGTTTCCTACAACTACCAAACAAACTTGCCCCATCCCTCTTCAAATCACGTGGGAAGCGTCAAACCCGCGTCGTCGTCGCCATTGAGGATTTGTGATGCACTCAGCTGCTGAGTGCATCGTTACGCTTATATGGTCACATAGCGTCGCCTGCCTGACACTGGCAAGATGGGCGAGCGCCGCGGGGAGTCGAGCTCCGTACCTCTGGCTTCCCCGACGCGCAGTGCTTTCACCGACGCCCACGCAAACATGTTTATCACTACACCATCGGCACCCTCAGCGTCAAATCTTCGAATCACGCAAAATCTGCGCGCCACGGGTCGACACGCCTGAAAATATCGACGACCTGGGGACGCATTCACACGGGATTCATAAATGTCAGGGTAAACAAAAATGAAATTTTCTGATATAAACGCAAGTCTCTTCGTTCTGCAGGTTGCGCTCGCTTGAGCACAGCCATGGATTAACTTTTCTGATTGGTTTCGGGATTGACAACAGATGTCGGGAACTAGAACAGATGGGATTTGAAGCCAGCTGCACCACATGGGGATATGTACCGTCTGCGTATGGCGTCCCCAGCTCGGTGCTGCCCGATCATTATTGAGGCGAGTGATCCGCGGGGAAGCGACCATGACAGTCTTTTAAAAGTCGGACTGGAATTCACGCCACTGGGGCACAACAAAGATAAGAGGGCCAATACGGGCCACGAGGGTAACGGAAGCCGTGCCTGAGTATGGTTCAATGAATTATGACACATTTGCCCAAGATGCTGGGATTTCCGTGAATGCTGTGGTTGGAGTCAAAGGCAACGTAAATTCAGCTGCACTGGCCAAACAAATGGGCCCGGGAATTACCTATCAACCGTCCATGCATCGAACATGTCGCAAATTTCACATACACCTGATTTCTGGTTCGTCTCGTAGTCTGTACAGATTGTGTGTGCGATAAGTATGTCCTCGTTGACCGAAATCAGCTCAATATGAGTCATAAATGTTATAATTTAGACATAAATCAACACGTTTCGGCCCAAATTGTTTTGAACATCACGAGGTCACAGATTACTGATGACATCAATGAGACGTTTTTAGGACGGTCAACGCGGGTGTTAATGTACAAGGTTACGGTTTGTCGGCCATGTAAAATCCCTCCGTCACCTGCCACCCTCATCGCCAAAGATTAACGTAATGACATGCCCGTCTGCATTCCTGACATCCGCGGGAAACACCGGCGACGCACTGGGGTAAAATAGCGCCGGTTTCTGGCACGGACTCTGAACAAAGATTAGCAGCTCAGAGCTCGCATTCGGCGTTGGACGGTGGGGACTATCAGCAGCGTATGTCAAATCGGGGGCGTGCGTCTGTTTGCATGTATGCTTGTCCGCGTGCACACATTTTTAGCACACGCACAGCACAGATGGCTGCTCGGATGAGTGAGAAGCTTGCACATCGACGGGTTCAACTTTTGTGACAATCCACGTGTACGTCGTATACCGGTGTCCGCCACAGCACCGGTGTCGGCCACAGGCCACAGCACCGGTGTCGGTCGCAGACCACAGCACCAGTGTTGGCCGACGCGGCGCGACGCCAAGCGATGCGAACAGCACTGAATCTAGGTTCTATGTTTGTAGGGGACATCCGACTGATGCTGGCAATGGAGGCCAGATAATTTTGTTGTTGTATCCAAGTACTCGTGGTCGGAACCGTTTGACGAGGATTAAAGGTAGTGTACCGCCATTGTGGCGTATTTCAAAACATACTCTAGTGAAATCTCAGGACAAATCACGTCTTCTAGTAACACCGGGTAGTGCGACTGCAGTAACGTCAAGACATAATACGGATATGAATTTTGATTATTTTTTAGTACAAATTGCGCTGTAAACGCCTTAAACAGCACTATGCTTCCTACCTGCATTCTTTTTCCCTTCCCTGCGACCACCTTCCTATGACAACTACCGTGCGAATAAACAATATAAACACCTTTATAAACAATATAAACAATAGATACCTTCCTATGACAACTCTACGGGTGCGAACAAAAGGACGTTTGTCATCGGGCCAACGGGCAAGGGTTGTTACCGAGAAACGCATGGGCTGAAGTTTGAACAAGTGCGCCACGTGGATCATTTGATACTTCCATTCCTAAAGCCAAAGTACGCCCCAAAAAGACCTATTGCGGTGAACACCATAGGTGAGATATCAAAGCCACAGTATAACGTTTCGTGAACTTCACGGGATAATGGTTTAATGTTGGCACATCATTTGTCTAAACAGCGTTTCAAGCTTTCGTAGCATTTATTACACAAACACTTAAAAACATTAGGGTACTGCAAACAATGCAGATGTTGCGAAAGGTAATGGAAATTAATTGTATTACTTTCATTGTAGTAAGCGGCAGTCAGGTGAGATTTCTTCCGCAGCGCCGAGGACTTCAAAAAGGAATTCTGAGCTATTGAGAAGAATATCGAGAACACTGGCATTACTAATCGAATCGTACGCGTCTGATGTAACAATAAGTGAAAGGTCCAAAAAGATGGGAAACTGGTAACTGTCTAAAATGAAATTTGATTTGTAATAAACAAAATGTTGTGAAAAATAAAATGAAAATGGAAAATAAGATGAAATTATTGGCACTCGGCACAGACGCTTTCATCTTAAAAAACGTCTGTATTCTGCTTTCCGCGCCTCCAGCTCAATACACCCAGTTTTACAAAATAGCGCTGTTCATGGAACGCTGACGCCCTTGAGACGTCCAATAGATATAAGCAGGACATGCCGTACAGCAGCACCCGCTCTTCGCGCAGCGGCGCCCGCACCGACCGGCATTTACCTCTGTTGCTCTTCGACAAAACGGCTGCGACCAAAAGCGCTTTGATAATGAAGCAATAGGACGTGATTACGTGAAGACGTCCACTTCCACTTGGCTGCGTACCCAGGCAAAGTGACACCATAGACTATAGCTAAGTGATGCGCTCCACCCACACGGGATTGTATATATTTGTGTAACTATGCAACAAGACATCCAGGTCAGCTACCCGTCCAACTGAACTGACATGCAGACCAGCGTATACAATACAGCCGACGTAAAAGTAGCTGCTGTGTTAAAAATGTAAACAGGTAACTGTAATGTAAATCAAACAATTGTCACCGCGCAGAAATATGCCTTGAATACGACCATGTGGCATGCAAATTACATATCTACTTTATATGTTTGTAGCAAGTTTTTCGTAGAAATGCGATGAAAACCAAACTGCTATATATGAACTGAGTGTCAGCATATGCGTGTAATTGTAATCGTTGTCTTGAATATGACCATCCAACTGAATGCAACGTTAAATCCCTGTGGGGACGACGGACGTACCTGCCAGCTGCTGGGCCAGCTCGCGCACTGCGGCAGGGCCCTGCGGTCCGGCCATGTAGCGGGAGCGGATGACGCGAGCCATCTCCGCGTGCGCCACCCGCAACAGCGCCGGCTGGCCGGGCGCCGCCGACCGCTGCAGCAGGCACTCTCCCGACCTGTCGAAACACCGAAGCCTCAGCCAAAAGTCAACATTTCAAGCGGCACGACGCCGAAGCCGGAGCCAGCCCTCGAAGATGGCTTACACCCGAAGCCAAAGATCAGGTCATTGTAGAAAAACTGCAATTCTGCGGCGTCGAAGCCGAGGCCGTTTGTCTCCACTCGGCGTAAGAGGCGTCATCAGACGGATCCTAGGCAGATGCCATAAACGTTTGCTTTTTTACTCTTACTATACGCTAAACTTACACCTATACCCACATCACGCTTCCGTGTACGATATCCCCCCCACACACATCCACTTTCGCATATATGCCCACTTTTAAAAGCATGCTTCATCAGCTCATCCTCCACAAACTGGACCATTTCTTCCGTTATAGGACGTTCTACTACGCTTTTTTGTATCGTGTCTCTAAAAGACCCCAGAGGGTCATTATCAACAGAGCAAAATCTATTGGAATTTAGCGAATTTCAATACCTCCTGCAGAGCATATTTTCGTCCCGTCGTTCCTCTCTCCATTTATCAACGTGTCTTTATATGTTATCAAATGTGGCAACGACCTTCCACCTACCATTGCATCCAGTTGCCGATACTGAGGCTTCCACAAAGCTAGATCCCCAGCCGACGGACAGCCGTTGCAACGGGGCCTTCGTCGTCTGGAGGCGTGATCCCACAGATGGAGTTTGACTTTAAACCCAATAAATGCCACCTACTGCCAATCACGTTCTGGTCCGACAGCTACACCAAGGTATGTTATCATCGAGACCGAACAATAGAAAGGAACAGGACGTACGTGCCTTCGGTATCAGCCGGGGGTTTTCCTTTTTAAAAACAGACCACTACACCTGGTGTCCACAATGCAGCCCCTCGTGCCAATCGAGGAATTGTCACTACCGCACGAACTTAGGAAGTCCTCACAGAAGCACCACAGAAGCCGTCGTCAAGGGCCTTAATTCCATCGAGACATTTCGCGAATGATCGACCTGCTGTAAAGCATTGCGGGCACACTTGTAGCAGGTGCGACAAATTCTCACAGAATTGGATACGATGCACCGCTAATTTACTGGTATCTTCTATGTTGCCTCGCATGACGTCGCCTGCAAGTGGAGTGCATGTTCTCGGCTGGCGATTAGCTTAAAATATGAAATAAGTGGATGCAATATTCTGAAACAGTCATGCCTTTCGATAACATTCAGTCAAATTTTTCTAAGGACGCGGTCTTTCCAAATTGCACCACCATTATTGCGGCCAATATCACCTCATCTGGCGATGTGTGAGGTATTGTACCATATCTATAACGCATTTGTAGTCCGGCATTATGCTCGTAGAGGTCCGCCGCCATCACAGCTCGTTTTGGCCGTTAGCTGTTTCCTTATTGTAAATTCCCTGCTATGCTATCAGTTAGGTTTCTTTGATTAATTTGCATCGTCACACGGACTCCTGCCATTGCTATAACTGTCACCGTCTAGTTTCTGCGCTGGGATTGCCTTTGCGTTTACTTTTAGCCCTGTTGCGTTTACTTTCTGTGCGGCACGGCGATCACAATCCGGATCAGGATGCCAGGCCGTCGCGATACAAGATCCTGTGAAGCACAGCGCGTATCACCTGACCCTGTCCACATGCAAGCTACGCTGCTGAGCACAGCTTACTGATTCCTGGAGATAAACCGGGGAGTTACCGCTCATTAGCGTCCATCTGTCCCGAGATCACGCCAAGACATTATAAATCTCCATGGCAACCGCGTGCTTCAGGCAGCGCGGGGACGGCAGCAATGACGGCTCTGGTCAGCTGGTCAATTTGGTGATGCCCGAGCATTAGGCAAAGGCACCAGCTTATTCATAATGATGCAAATCTCAGGCGCATACCGCATTCGCTGCGTTCTGAGCACAGCGGTCACATGTCATTGGTAGTATGAGGTGGAGCTTACATCATATCTATGCAAATACGCATACATGAACACACACATACATATATATATATATATATATATATACATTCTTTAAAACGTAGTTCATTACATGCCGCGGAGTTTTGGGGCTTGGCAAGGTTTCTGTTGATTTGTTCTACGTTTCCAATCAGCCTTTTTGTCGGGTTGAGGTCCCAAGATCAAATCACCAGGATGTCTCATAAAAAGGTTGCGTATTTGCCGTGTATTCACCGAAACTTTACGTCTCGGTCTGATCCTTGAACGGTTATAAAACAGATAGGATATGTCCACGCGGTGGAAAGAACACTTCAAACATATTCGATGATTCGAATGAAAAAACGGCGTATCTTATGAAATAAGTCTAGTACGCCTCAGTTCAAAAAGCTACGGTTAACAGGTTTCAATACATATGCAAACCCTCGTGGTAAACTTGGGGTCTTGGTGGTAAATTTTCACGCACTTCACATATACTTTAAGTGGCCCACAAATCGGGGACTCCTATCTTTCCATAAAATCTCAGTGAACGCAAGAATTAAGCTGTTTGTTAAGTGCTGGGACATGTCTGAAAATGACTGGGGTTTCTAATGTTATCATTCGTGATTTTTGCGTTGTGCTTTAATGGTCGTTGTGTTTTCGGTAAGTTGCTTGCCTGTCAATATTGTTTGGTGGCACTGAGTCACGTGTTGTTTTGGAGCCCCGTCTCGAAGATGCATAGGAGGCCGCCTGGACAGGGAGGTAGCTGTGACGCTAATGTAGTTTACCCCACGAAACCTGCAATCTTCGCACGGACAGGGATATTGATCAACTACATTAGTGCATGTTAAAAATGTCAACTTTGGCTGTCACATTGTTCTTGATCAAAAGCTTGCTTGTTCCTGTAATAAATGGTCAGTTGAAGATAATCTGTCGTGCTGGCGCACGTCGCGTTGTCTTGGATCATTTCCTGAATGGTCCATTCGTCCACTTTGCATGATGACGACATGTGACTGCAATAAGCAGAGTGTATCCTGTTTTTGGCCATTGTGGGCCCAGGACACGACGCCTGACACGATATTGGTCTTGAATGTCATGATCAAAATAATTACAACCCCCTTGACAAGAAAGCAGAACATGAGGTCTTAAAGGCATAAAGGCATAAATACATCAGGCCAACAGAGAGCCACTAGAGCCCACCGGGGCTGGCCTTCCTCGGGTTTTGCACATCCTCGACATCTTACCACCCAACCTGCCTGAATTAAGCTATAGATGAAATCCTTAGACAGACAGAGCATGTCCAAACAATTTTCAATGTTGCTCGAGAGTGATTTCGTACAACTTCGTTTG